TAAAAAAAAAAAAGTGTGAAGAACAAAAAAAAAAAAAAAACAAAAGAATAAAACCCACCCCCTTGTAGGGCCCAAGACAGCAACTTCTGACTTAGAGGATGAAACCCCCAATATCATACTTGCACATCTCATTCTCCAACAGCTGTGCTGCCTCCCAGCTACACAGATAGATTAAAGGGTCTCTGCTAAGAAGGCCCACTTCTCTCTTCTCTCCCTCCCTACCCTGATCAAATCTGGGCAGATCCAGGGAGCTCAAATAGTTTGTTGACTACAGACTGATATGTTGATTGAGGGGTGTGAATGCACAAGTCTCTCTGTTTCCAGAAACCATCTGGCTCCCAGACACTCTCTTCAGCTGCCAACACACACTGACAAAACAGAACTTGAGGACCTTGAAGTCCCATCCCTCTAAATTCCATAGGGCTGAAGGCCACTCAGAGATCAGAGGTCAAATGTACTCCTTTAGCAAGGAGTGTAACAACTAACCACTATTGAATTAGGGCAAAACATGTTGATTTTTATAAGTCTAATGAGGATACAATAACCCTGAAAAGTTCAGCTTTTTCTTGCAGAGTTTTGGACTAGGGGTCTAATGGACACAAACCCGTATCTCCAACCCTCATTACTTCTGTTACTTCAAGCAAGTTACTCAACCCTCTCTGAATGTTGATAACAGGTTCTTCCGCTACAAAAAAAAAAAAATGGAGATAGTAACGCCTCCTCTCAAGAGCAAGTGTGAAAGTTAATTGAGCTAAGTCAAATTACCATTGCCCAGCCTATGGTAATTCATAAACAAACACATGTACGCTAACACGAGATGCTGGTAGCAGTGTAAATTAGTACCATCCTTTTTTAAAGTTACATATGTCAAAGCCCTTTCTTCAACCAATCCTATCTTCCTAAAGAAATAACTCAAGGGGGGAGGGGAGAGCCATAAGCACTAAGTTTTTTAATGCAGTATTATTTATAATGATCTGGAAACAAATAGCCCAGCAACACTGGGACAATCAATGGACTTCTCCAGTTAACAAACATAATTATAAACAGCATTAAGGCATGTAACAACACCAGGCAAATGAAGCAGCATCCAAATGCTTTCTATGTCCCAATGACAAGGGTATAAAATGTGTACTATGGGCATATGGGCAGAGACGCTAAGAAGGCAGAAAAATTAAAACAGCTGCTGGGCTAGGATGGTGCGATCGAGAGTGACTATTTTTAAAAACGCCTCCTCCTTATGCTATACTATTGTTTTTACAGTAAATTATATAGTGCGAGGGGAGTTTCTTGGGGATGTTGGGGATGACAACACAGCTAGCCAACAGCAAAACAACTCCCAACCAAGCGGGGATGGGGGAGGAACGAGACCCACAAAGAGGAGCATATAATTAGGAGGGGCAGGTGGAGGTGTGCGCATGGTGTCTGCCTGGCCTCTGCCCCAGCTTCTGTCCTGGCC